TTCCTCTCTGTAGAAAACACTTTGATTCTTGTTGCAGTGATGACTAGAAGGTGGGCGAGCAATGCCCACACTTTGGGTCTAAAGGATCTGGGTGTAAAAGACTGTGCTTCTGAGAAAAGAGAGTGAAACCCGAACCAATGATGATGATGATTCAGCAGCTAAACTGAAAACATGAATTATTCAGGTACTGCCAGTGGTAATCTTCTTAACTGACACTAAGTCTTAAATAATACCATCCAGAACTGTGGAGCTGCCTGCCATTAGGATCTCTCATGCACCTCATGCCAGCTACTGCCTTGATGTGTCTAGAGAAAGTCCCAAAGCCTTTGTACGTTTCCCATCAGATGGGGAATGAACCCCTTGCTTAACACCACAAGGCATACAATTTGCAGGAGGAAAGCCGGATGGGATGAAAGCTCCACAGACGTACAGGAAATGCTCTGAAACAGTCAGAAATAGGGAGATGACACGCACCCTCAGAAGGTACAATCCTTTACCCTGGGATCAGAGGGCTGCCTTTCTTCCCAGCTGGAGATTCTGTTCCACTTGCTTGTGGTTTAGTAAAAAGACATTGTTTTTCTGCTTTTCCTTTGTAACCCACACGTTCTAAAAACAACCATCCGCTTTCAAGAATAAAATGCCGAAAATGAAATATGATGCCCAACAGCCTTTGCTGCTGCTGAGCCAGTTCAGCCTCTCCTGTATAACAAAGAGGTTTAAATGCCATTCTTACTTATCTCTCCAAAAGTTGTGACCCCAGTGTCCACACACATCTTCAATTCCAGTCTTCACGTGGTCAAAGAACTAAATAGGAAACAATGGTTCATTACCGAAACGGACAGACATCGCTTGGCTTCCCCTTAGATATTATTAATTTTTAGCACTTCAAAACAGAAAAGTCTAGTTTGAATTTCGGCTGATGCTCCAGTTTAACAAAATTCAGCCTAACCAAACTCCGAGCCAGATTGTTTTGTTTCCCTGGAGCTTCCTTAGCTCACATCCCCAAAAGTACAAAAGTTAGCTGCTAATTTCCACAACATCAGTCTTGCTCAGCTCCTGCCTGAATCTGCAGGCAACTAGTTTTTCCCATATTTTCATTTTCTTTAAGTTCCCTAACCACGTAGGACTATGGCTGGAATTTCCCCAGGGACTTCCCCAGGTCTGACAGCGAACCAGGTATGACTTTGCAGGGGAGAGAGACTGAGTGGGCAGCAGCTCCCCACGCCAGCACTGGCCCCTTGGGATGCACAGAAAAGAGCTGAGAGCGCTCCGGCATCAGGTCCTGAGCTCCTATTTTAGGGGATATGCTCTAGCCACACCTCAAAGCATCCTGATCACCTAATATGAGAAACCTACTCTTCCTCAGTCTATTATGAATTATGAAAGAGTAAAACAGTTCACTTAACATCTCATTTTATCCCCAGAGGCAACTTGTTTGCTCTTAATCCAAGTACCACAGTAGGGGGATCTCTCAAATTCAAAGGGAAATCCTGGTAGATATGTCCAAAGGAAAAGCTCTAAAAGGACAGACTTTCAGATGCCTAAATTGACTTATTTGCTGAATGTGGCCTTTATTATCCCTCATTTGTGGAATTTCAAACCACCTGCCACAGGTATGCTGCAAGAAGAAATACATTCGAGAATATGCACGGCCAATAAACTGAAGTAATTGGAGGCATACACATACCAAATACAAATCCATAAAGAGGCTCATGATGTCAGAGTTAAGTAAATTTAAGAGTGTGTTTAGGAGGAGTTTGCATTTGTTTAATTAGAATAACTCAAATGCAATGTAATGTAATTAAATTGCCAATGCGTTCCTAATGTAGCCAAGTTCTAAAATAACACGTCTCATATGGGAAACAAACTACGGAAAGTTAATTTACCTCAGGAGAAGAACAATTAAGGAAGTGAAGATTCCAAAATAATGATACATAATAATGCTAATTTTGATAATTGCCAAAGGTTAAATACAAGCTTTACAGTTATTGTGCTTCTAACAGCTATCAAAAAGAAATTGAAAAGAGCATGTGTCTCTCTGTAATACTGTAGGCTGAATCCTTCTCTTACTGAAAGCCACTAGGAATTTCATCTGTATGAAGGTTTCATCTGTGACACTGAAGCTGCAACATACCCTGTTATAAATTTCTTCACTGACAGCTGGCTGCTTTTTATTTGACCTTTTGACATCAAGAAACTCCACCAGCGGGCGAATTGTTATTCCCTGTAAAGAAAAAAAAAAATCAAAATAGTTCTAGGGGGATTTTTTCCATAAACATAAAGAAAAAAACAAAGCTCTTCAGTCTTTTCCATCTCTGTCAGAGCAATGAAAAAGACTGTGGATACGTTTTTAGCTCTGGATACCCCTTCACCTTCCTAACCCCAAAATCCAGCCTGATACAATAATTATAATAGTGAATTCACTCTAACGGAATGAAGGGGCTCTCTAGAGCTGAGAGGTCCAAGGGGGACAACCTGATAAAACCCGTCAGGAATACGTCATTACACCATCCATAGTATTTTTAAACTTTTTTCTCAGTTCTGTTATGTATTAGAAACACCGCCCCTTTTTTTTCTGAATTAATAAATAGGTCCCTTGTCATTCCAAAGCAAATGTATAAAGTCCTCTTATTCAGTGATTACTTCCAAAACAGCTACTCAAAGGTGTGTCAACATTAGCACTAAAATTACTATTCAAGACCTGTGACACTAAGACTTTTTGTAAATATGTGTCCTTGCTTGACTATTCCCAGAGAAAAAACAAAAGGGTTTGGCTCCTCCAGAATGATATACTGGATTTGAACAATTATTTGTGGAAGAATCGACATAATTTGTTTATTTGTATAGGCGCACTGGCACAAGGGAGAGGAATGACTCTCTCATGGTGCTGAGATCAGTCCCTACTATCCCAGACAACAAGGTCACAGATTTCTTTTTGTAAAGGAATCAAGCTTTATCTTAAAAGTAGTTGGGTTTCTTTGCCCGATTGCTCATACTGGAACACTCATCCTGTACCTCATTGTTCTGATAATTAGAAAGCTGCTTCTTAATTGCATCACGGTCACTTTGTACCACTTTGTTCTTGTGCCAACATTTGTCTTTTTAGTTTAAACAGTGTTCCTCCTTCTCTGGTGTTCACTCCCTGGTATAAACAATAATTATATTCCCTCTTCTCCTTCATTTTCCTAAGGCCAAGGCAACCTGATCTCCTTTCACATGACAGGCTTACCACTCCCATGATCACCTTAGAACATGACATTATTCTCTGGGGAAATACCTGCATCAGTATGTCAGAAGATCAGATTTGCCCTTTTTCTATCCCCACTGCACTGGTTTCTTAAAGTGCACCCCATTATCAAATAGCACACCTATGTCTTTTTCCCTTTCCATTTTTTTTTCAGACAAAAGATTCCTATTTCATAAAAGAAGTACCTAGTAAGAAAGCACTAGCAAGAACATGTTTGCACTTATTACTGTTAAATTTAATTCTGTTTCTATCATATTGGCCCTCAATTATTCTTTTCTTTCTACATGATACCCCATCTTGCTGTCACCCTGAGAACACCTTCCAAACCCGGTCATCATGAAACATAAGCAACAAAAAACTCCTATATTCATGTGCCATGGTCAATAATGAGAGTAGTAAACAAAACCATCACCACAAACCATCCTTGAGGAACTCTATTAGTAACTTCTCACCAGCCTATTATCTGACCAGGGTGGTCAAATGCCAGAGCAGGTGCTCAGAGAGGCTGGGGAATCAGCCTGGAGGTATTCAGAAATGGAATAGTAATAACCAGGAATGGAGGTATTCAGAACTCAGCCTTACCTGGCCCTGAGCAAAATGATCTAGCTTTGAAGATGGCCCTGTTCTCAGCACCGGGTGGGACTACAGAACCCCAGAGGTCCTTTCTGACCCAAAGGACCATATGTTTCTATTTCCCTTTATAGGAGAAACTGTCAGCTCCGTTCTCATTCACTTTACAATCATCCTACTGCCAATCTAAAACTCAGTTTAATAAGTAGTTAAGCTAACAATCTCCTGCGTATCCCCTGCCAAAGATTTTACAATAGTCCAATTAGATGAGATTACTCTAGAAAATAAATTGTCTTATCAAAGAATGATACCAAGTTTCCCTTTGGTAGACCATGTTGCATTTCAAAACTCATTTCATTTACATCCACATTTTAAATTATTCTGCCCTTCAAAATCAGTTTTATAGCTTGCATGCTAAGGTCAATGAAGAGACTTCCAGTTGCTTCAGCCACCTTTTCCCATTTCCCAAGTACAGATACTTGCTACTTCCCAGGACTCCTTTCTCCATGTAAAAGGCAGGATAAAAAAATGTATTTTTCCCACAGACCTTAAATTCCATGTAGTAGCATCTCACACCTTTCTCACTGTTCTGGATAATAATTTGCCCCACATGTTTATATGAGGGGCTTAACCTCCTCTAAATTTTGCAGTTTTGGCCACCTCCCTCTGCTCACTTGGTCACTCTGACCAGGCCTCCATGGGCAGGTTGACACCAGAGACAAGTTCTTCACATTCTTCTCCACATCTGGAGCTTTTGGATGGATATCCAGCTGCTTTGCAGCATCAGTACCTAACACCCAGACTCAAACACTCCAGTTCACCTCCCAGTCCCCTTGGTGTTTTCCAACCCCTCTCACTGTGCACCATCTAACACCAAACTCCTGAGCAAATGCACAACTTCAAATATCCTAAGAAGGAATTAGTGCTGGGGCTGTACCCAGATTATCTTTTATCTCTACTCCAACCTCACTAGGTCTTACATGCTTAATACTACTTATATGTTAGCATAAGTACTTAATAACTGGCATACTTTGGCTACCTCTCTGCAGACTGCAAGCACATTGTTTTTAAACTATTAGCATAGAGTGTACCTTCAAGAATGTTCCTTCCAGTAAGTTAGGACATCTGTCTTTCTACCCACTGCTTATTTACAACCTGTCTGAAAAGAAAAATTCCAGAAGAGGATGGGCATTACCTGAATGAAAACAGTAAAGAATATCACCACAATAACAGCAGTGATGAACAATTTCTTCCTTGGAAACACAGCAGGAGGAAGCAGAAATACAAGTGAAAAGCAAATAGCTCCTCGGAGGCCTCCATAAGCAATAATAAATTGGTCCTTAAAAGTGAGAGGAATTGTCCGGAACACATTAATGATCTGAGTCAGAACAAAAACACCTGAGAAAAACAAAACCAAAAAACCATAAATACACC